ATATATCTCTGAGTTCTTCTGATTGATAAATGCGGCATAGTTATATGTCCAATATGGCTTTCCTTTCATTATGATCAATGTGCAGTCTGCCACGGCGTCGCTATGTATATCCAAACCCTTCGGGTAATCTCTCTTCCTGATCTTACAATTAGCGTACAAATAGTCGAAAGGGAAGACCTTCGCATATAATTATAGGGATGAGAATTACCTCTTTTAGATTAGGTTTCGGCTCAAAAGTGGGGAAAAACTGTAAGGGAGGAAAAGACTGAAATGGGAGACATTGATTGATTTTTGCTCTGAAATTGAAAGATGCCAGGAAAATTAAAACAAATGACACTTGAACAGGCACAAAAAGAAAATGAATAATACCAAAAAAAGGAAAGTATGTATTGACACTATTGTAAATTAAAATTAGAAGATGATAAGTTGAAAAATGTGATAAAAATGAGAATCGGAAAACTTACTTCTATGACAGGCTCGTCAATTGAAGRAATCAGTTAATGATTCATTGAAATGATAAGTGAAAACTGCCGAAAAAAAGTCGTTCAAAATGATTAGAAATACAGGAGAGCGAAAAAAATTAAAAAAATATGATCTCCACAAAGACCAAATGACAGACTGCTTATTAATGATACTCTTCAAGAATCAGTTGTGATAAATGCTGGCATGTTGTTTTCAAAAGAGCAAATTAAACGGATATTGCAGACAGTGTTTTTCTAATCTTAATCCTTCTTAGTTAATATCCATTTCTTTATTTGTTTAATGTTTTCCTCACATATTCCTTAGTCTCTATTTCTCACCGGATCTCTTTGTCATTGACTGGACTTCATCACACAGAYTTTAATAATCTTGTCTAGACCCCGGCAATTTCCTCGGGCATATTTATGCAAGTCCAATTATTAATGGCGTAGCTACAATWCTTGTCGTATATTCAMATTGTTTCTATACCCCGTTCAAAGCCGGATGACCACTCTTCAAGGTAGACAAGGACACAATTGCACACAGACGAATCAGCATCRTAAGCTTTATTTGATATCACCCCTATATTTGCCTTAAAATTACTCTTGAAGCTTGCACCATATTTATGTTTTGAGTCAACTTAAAAACTACACTTGTAAACTACAATACAATTAACTTAAAGTCTGTGTTGCTCTCGGCAACAATATCATCTAGAAAAATAAAACTGAGCTGCACATTTAGGATGATCAAAGGCCAACATGCTAACTAATATAATCAGAGCTTAAAGTACTCGGAAAATTATCATGAATTGCAACCCTTACCATTTTTTGATTGTCGATCTATGAGTTTTTTCGTACCGATGAGGCACTTAATCATGAGATTGAAAAGCAATCTCCAATACATACACTCGATGAGAGCTGGTGACAGCTGCAAAACACGTGACCATGGATTTTTAAAAATCAAATCGTCCAATATAAATAGTTTCTATGTCGGTTCTATATTCGGTGRAGGCCCCTCGTCCTCATATTCCTCATATTCTGTATCAGACATGTCATACTCGGAGTCAGACGATGACGCCGAAGTGACCGGTAGTTTGTATTCGGGCAAATCATCCAGTGAGCATCCCTCAGGAAGCAGCTTTTTCGCTTCATCTTCATAAAATGCTGCACGTGCAGTGTTGAAACCTTTACCATGTATGTTTCCATTTTTATACAAGAAYTTTGAAATGGCTGCAAAGATCTGTGCAAGAACCACATCCGATTTAGGCATCYTTTGAATGGCATCCGCTCTGGTATCTACACTTTGGGAGCACTGATCATCTATGGATTCAGAACTGGCTTGAATCTCTTCAGTGGAAATTATACATTTGGACTCTATATTTGCGCCGGTATCAATGGAAGGAGGCGACGTTGTTGCGACGTTCTCTGATCCGTAATTGTGATCAGCATTGGGGATTTCCTCATCTCCGACGTCGTTTTTGAGCTTTGAAAGATCAGCATCCTCTGATATGGAATGTGTTGAAGCTTGCTCTTTTTTCTGATTCCGCTGAAGCTCTTCCCACCTTTCTTGATTCTCTTCCCTCAACGCCTCCATTACCATTGTCAATTCCTGAGGAGTGCATCCTGGCGGCTTTATCTCTGAGCCTTCCCACAGTTCATTCCACACASATTTGTGCAAAAATTCAAATATTTCATTTGACGTTTTAGCTCTAAACATTCTCAAATAAAAAGCTAGTTCATGTGCATCTTTCTTTAACATAAATTCTGGATTAATCTCGCTATTTGGCACAATCAAGTTACTGCTAGGGAGGAAATAGTTTGGGATTGTCCCCTTTTCCAATAAGAGAATAAGCTTYTCCACAACTTTGAAGAAGCATGCTCCCAAATTATCATCCTTCCATTCGTCGAGAGGAATTTCTTCGCACACCCAGAAGAATGTGGTTTTCAAAAAGTAACTGTCCAGGTCAAACGGCTTGACATGAAAACTTTCATAAACTTTTTCATCCCTGGATCGACGAAGATCATCTATCGCCTTATCATTTAAAATTTTCAACAATGTATAGCATTTTACCTGTGCCGTATTCAAAGYTGAAGCCAAATTTTTCTCTGCCAGCGAAAAGCTTAGTCGCCAGTCGACGTAGTKAGGCGTATTGATAAGACTATGAAACGTTTGTCTCATCTTCGTGTCTGGAGGAGGTTTTGTACTTCTTGGAACAACGTGACAACCTTTTGCCACAATCTCTTGTATCACGCTCTTTGGTGGCCATCCACTCGGTCTCTCGCGCACAGTGAATTCCCAGGCTGCACTGGGCCATTTGACGCACTTGACGGCTGGAACGTGATCTATGTAAATCATTTTACGTTCCGAGGATGAAAATAGATCTCCTAATTCTGGTTTTGCGGTTGGTAAAACAGTATAAGTACGTTTGMCAGCATATTCCTTTTCATATAGTTTACATCTTTCTTGWCGYTCAATTTCATTCAAAGGAGCAGTAGCTGACATCGGGTCAGAATCATTTTCGATTATGGCATTTTCATGAATTGCAGGTCCTTTGATCATGACTGTATCAGACCAAATTTTAGTTGGTTGTATACCTTTTCCCCTACGAATCTCTCTTAGTGACAGACGCTTACAGTCCTCGCACAGATCACCGTACCTGTTTCGATCTAATCCTCCGTCAGTATATGTAAACTCACAACTGCAATCTTGCGGTAAAACGTCATTTTCTGAGGCAACCAAGAAAGCTAGAGCTGGAACGTACATCGGTACACATTCTTGGTCAACGTACTCTTTCAGCATAGGAYATACTTTAACAACTTCCACATACTTTATTTCTGTAGCAATCAATCTTGGAAGGTATTTCTGTAAAGTGACGTAACCGGCCTTTTTCCCTGGCCGCATCAGGACATGGAGAATTCCAGATGCATCCAATGGCTGCAAAAATGAATCAATTTCGTATGYCACCATTTTATGAGACTCATACATGATATCTATATCATGAAGAAGTTTGCAATCTAATTGGTCATAGTTTTTTTGCTGATCAAGATGCTCATTGCCAAATAATGCCAGACCTTCTTCTGCGCTACCGGTGAAAATCGGTTTTCCAAGAACCTCATTTACGACGTACTTGGCTTTGTCGCCAAGAATTTCAGACATTTTAGTGCACTGATTCATGTCTTGAACAAATGTTATACATTTCAGAAGTTTACTGAGAAGACGAAAATCTCCATCAAATGGCGGATGGTGCTGGCCGGCTGAGAAGCTGTCGCTGTAGACCATATATCGCGTGAGGTTGCCCACAATAGGGTGCCATACAAGTTTTCGCACTTCATTTGTCTCATGCACACAGCTCATGAAATTTATGAGGCGCCACACCTTTTCTATTTTTGTGATCTCTTCAGTGAGACCTTGTTTTCTATATGCAATGGTTCTATCATCTTCCTGCTTCTGGGCGTGAAACATCTTGTAAATACCCAGCCTAAATCATTCAGTGCAAATACCATCTATCAAAGTCATCTGCCAAAATAACAATCTAACGTGTACTTTAATGCTATGGGCATCAGGATGACTTGACAACGCAAGGATCTTTCAGTCGGTGAGATGAAGAGTCAGATCATGATTATTATCTCGATATTTTAAGGTAGTAAGTCTAAACTGAAAGAAAGAACAAAAGATTTAAAATCTGGGATGACTCCCAAATTATTCAAGTTAAATTGATGAGCTTTAATATCATATCTATAATCACCAAGAGCTCATCGATATATTATTTGTTTACCTAATCTATACGACACCAGCATGGCGAAGTAGTAGCAACTGCTGTCAAATCAAGCCCTAACGAATAAGAAGGAATAATCCATGAATTGTGAAGTAATTATAATTCTGTATACTTCTGATAGTTTCATAGTGAAATTAACAATTAATCAAACAAAGACAAAACTAGGTAAAAGAAAACGTTGTGAAAACGGCAATTGACACTTTCAGTTTGACTGTGGATGCGAACACATTTTCAAAATCGTATAGTGATAATCTGTCGAACGCATCGATCCAATATTTACATAAATTTATAAGGTTTGTTCATTGTATCGAAACGTTGTAACGTCGGMTAAAGAACTCGGCTACACTTCGTTTTTTTTAACCACTTCTCAGTGTTTTGATAAAMTCGAACCCATGTTTAATCAGTTCTTCACATTGAGAAAACTACAAACAGTAAACGATATAAAACTACCAARCAGTAAAAGCTCGAGGGAATACGTTTCCGAATGACTTAACACGAAAGCCAGCCAAATGTGTAAGTGAATTATTATTATCGAAGTGCATTAAGAACGGTTTAAGTGATTCCTTAGATTGTTCTTAATTGAATTCGACGTTCATAGGTCACTTGAACATTCATTTGAGCATTTATTCACCGCAGTTGGGACAAAAATTTAAAAGGAGAAGCAAATGATATGCAAAATCTTCAATACAGAGTGACTGTTGATTTTTCTCATGAGATTCGTTTGAATTAAGACCATAATTAGACAATTAGGGCAAATTACTAGTAAGGAAATCTCGAAAAACGTGATGCCATTCACAAGGATATAAACTAAAATGTCTCAGCTAATACAATACTTGTTAGCGATGAATTTATACTAAGTTTAGAAGAGTATGTTTTCAGTAATTTGTTACTCACCTCGCTCGTCTTGATTCAAGACTTGTTTTTGTCATGCATAAGCCATTGCCATTTTGTTTTTAAACTTTATAATGATCTCAGGCATTGTAGAWAGGGTCGCATCAAACGCATCAACTATTACAAGCTCATCTTGTTGATCCGTGTGAATGCATTTCGTGGAAGCACTGTGACGTGAAGTTCAGTCCACGTCATATAGATATAAATTGAAACCCTCGCCTTACGGAMACCCGCTTAATACGACCACTCCGTTATGACGTCATCCAATATTTAATATTTTTTTTGAGTTTCTCTCGATTTTTCGCTTCAATTTTACTCACTCTGCCTACCAGGAAGTATGCRAACAAAACGAAAACAGATAACAGTCAGGCGTTACTCGTTCGTGCGCGTGCATGAATATGACTTACATTCTCCCTCTGGCTAATGTACTCATTGCCCACTAGCACATATGTACATCCACTAGCCACTTTCCCAACAATGTACCCCAGCCGTGTATGACAAAGTCATCTGATTTAATCCGAGCTGTTTCTTCAAGTTGTATTTAAGATAACCACTTAACTCGAACAAACCGTAACCAAAAGATACCGCCAGCCGTTGCGTTTAAATGCTTAAAAGTTTCAGTTTTGGGCCATTCYTGTTGCATGATGAAACGATCAAGAAGTTTTAGTTGCCGCCATGTTGAATTGATGACATATTGAAACCARTGATAGCCCGCACTGACGGTGGGCTGGGGTCTAGCGATAGAACTCTAGCAAAGAATAAAAGTCAGTTCGAGCTTTTTCCAGGCTACTTGAGTGGAAAAGATCTTTTTTTTTCAAGAGCTGATGCTAAGAGATTAGAAACAAAGGCTCTCCRCAGCTTTGTTATTACATGTCCAACATGGCGGCTAAAGTTAACTTTGGTATCATTRCTATTTTTATAATGTTGAAACTGACCTTGAAGCGATCCGACTGATTGCATTTAGATTAAACACTTGGCCCTTTTATCGCAGGCATACTTGTCTCTTGGCTGATACAATGTRCAGTTCGATCAGGAATCTGTGACGGCTGTCTAGATATTATTCGTAGTGTTATAATGGTTTTGATTTTGCATGTTTTTGTAAGAAAGCAGTATGCAAAAGTCGTCCACGACAGAATCTCGGAATGTGCTGTTTATCGAAGAAAGATGATAAGCATTGACTCAATAATAACACTAGCTCRCGGTTTAGAGTGTGTTGTATAGTTTTCAAGGCCTAAAGTRATACAATAGCCCTGTGGGCAAAACCGCTGCATTAAAGACATGGAGAGAGTTTAAGCCAGTTGCTGTTGTTAGTAGTACAAATAAAGGCCTGAAGTTGAATAAGTTCGCTCGCTTAAATTACTTGAAGTTAAGACTTAACCTTTTTATTATAATTTTCCGAACGTGTCAATTTAAAACACCTTTTTCTATAGCGAATCCAATTATATTTTTCTGTATTTTGAGTGAAAGATCAGCTAATATAATCTTCTACAATTACATATTACAATTATAGCTCTAAACAGTACCTCAAGACAAAGCAGATGTTTTTTTACTCACCAAGTTTCAAAATCACCTGCAGCCCTTGTTGTGTTTTTCCGTCGTTCGATATTTTCTGACGACTGTTTWACAATATTTTCTTATCTTGGTCAATAAATCTTGACCTGTCATGTGACCTGCCTACCAGTGTTAATTGGTTTCGATATTGGATTTTTCTCGAACAAGACTTTCGCCATGGAAACAAGAGCTACAAACAAAGTACTAACGATGCCATAATGCACATTAACAAACACTTAGGAGTTTTTAAACGTTTTGTTTGGAATAACATTGAAGATATTTTAAAGTAAATATATAAAAAAGAGGTGTAAAATTGCAAAATTAATTGCTCTTTCTATTGATAAATTTAGCTATATTACATTTCATTTTTATACGGATATATCGTTGCCTAATAAGGCTTATTATGTGTACAGATAATATGAATACGAGGACCACATGGCACAATGATAAACATGATATAGAAATAATAAAAGAAATAAAGCGAGCTCGGAAATTAATTTTTCCGGGTCTTTCTCCCGAAATAGCCTCCTYCTAATCAAGCACTATTCCTTTCCTTTATTTCTATATTATTATTTTGCGTACAATCTAATATCCTGAAGCCAATTTGCAATGTTTATATTTATATTTTGGTTGGTTTTTAATGATGCCCCAAGTTTTTGCCTACTGTACTTTGACAAATGAAACTTCCAGGGYTTGAGGCASTCKGGYCTTWGTATTGGCTGGAGAGTTTCCATAGAAACAATCACTGACTAGACGATAAAAGTACCGTAGAGTGGAACCTTACAGGGGACCTCTGTATTACGAACACTCTATGTCAAATGATAAAAATATCTCTGTTACAAGGACATCATCCTTATAATTATGGAGATTTCTAATTATACAGTTGACTCTCTTTGAACGACCTCTCCCGTTAGCGACCATCTCCTGTTAGCGACCACCTTTTAAATTTCCCGTTATAATTGTTTCCATATAAACTCTGTAAAAAAACTCTCTCGTAATCGACCATCTCTCGTAAACGACCACTTTTTTCCTGATCCCGAGGTGGTCGCTTACGAGAGACTGTATTACCGACGGACGTGGCCTCTGTATTACGAACACTCCCTCAATGTCATATAACAAAAAAAAACTTCTGTTAAAAGGGCATCCATATATTAACGCTAACAAATTTTTACTTTTAACTCTTTATACAAGAAATGTATTCTTTATATACACAAAACTCTAATGGTGTCTAATATTATCAAATATTATCTTCTTTACTCCGACGAAGGACTAACGTCCGAAACGTCAGTAAGTTATTTCACCTACTTTTTACGGTGTTAAATTTATTTATTACAAATCTGTACCTAATATAATGGACTACGCCGGTTTTAAAATACCTTTTGTAGGAAATTAAACCTATATATTACAGACACCTTGCATTATTGTGAAACAGCGAGGTCGGAAATTAATTTTCCGAATTTATTTCCAAGGGCCTTTCTCCCGGAATGACCTCCTTCTCGATCCTTCCTAGCATTTACCTTTCCTTTATTTCTATATCAATATAGTGGAAGAGGCTTGCACAAATCTCAATGTATCATTAGAAATGTACACTCGATTCAATTCCGTAGGATAAGTAGTCAACTCTCTCKTAAGCGACCACCTCGGGATCAGGAAAAAGTGGTCGCTTACGAGAGATGGTCGCTTACGAGAATGTTTTTTTTACAGAGTTTATACGGGAGACTGAACAAAACGGGAAATTTGAAAGGTGGTTGCTTACGGTAGATGGTCGCTTACTAGAGTGGTCGTTCAAAAAGAGTTAACTGTATTGAAAGGTCTGAGAAATATTTCCAGTAAAATATATAAAACCCATAAAATTCATGATATTTTTATTTTTACGCTATAAAAACACTAGGAATTCTATTGATCTTCTGGTTTACATAGTATGGAAATCTCTTATGTGACATTCCCAATATATTACGGACAAATCTAGGTTGAATTCAGGCCCCCTTGATGACTACATAAGCCAAGGCCTATAAAAACGACTTGACTGGTAAACTTATATAATTACGAGTAAAATACGATCAATTCAAATCTACTTTTTCTGTAAATAGTTATATAACCTGGTGGTATTCTATAATTACTATTATGATTGTACATGTCCATGTTATTTTCGATATTTCTGGTTTGTTTACAGTAATAATAAAATGAACATGAGATCAGATGGCAAAGCCATTAAAATATGCCACTCTTTATAAACGATTACGCTCTTCGCCCCACAGAGAGTCTCGATAATTACGTTCAGAAGCGCTGCTGTGGTGATGGTCCACTTACGACTACCTGGGCATCGTATGCAATTAATAATATATGTTGCTCGCTTCTCTCCCTTGTTCTGAACTTTTTTTAATTCCACGGCTGGAATTGTCTAGTTTTCTCTCTTTAATAATAATAATAATAATAATAAAACTTTATTTAAAGAAGGTTTAAAAAGTAATTAAAAATTACACCAGTTTAGTTAAAACTAATCTTACACTGGGCCTTCTTTTGAATGATCTTGACAGTATCAATGATTGGGTGTTTAAAAAATGTGGGGGCAAGGGCATATTATCATTTTTGATAAACTTCGGCTCAGGCACACTAAAGCCTTCGGCATGAACTCAAAATTCTACATGTTTTTCGTGCACTGTTTTTATATGCCGGGAAAGTTATCCCAGTTTGGTGAGCTATTGTTTTTTTGTCTTAGTAAACTAGTAAACGAGCGAATATCTTCTTAGATAGGTTTTTTCTTAATAGAGAGAACGGCTTTGTATTTATAAAAGGTATAAATAATTTGATCGATTGAAAAATCGTATTATTGAACTATCACATATGAAAGCAAACAGAATGAAAAKGGTGCTCAGTTTGAGGATATCTGACTTCGTACCAGAAAGAAAAATTGAAGCCAGCGCGAATAGCTGTATACAGTGGGGAAAACTGTACTTGATGTCCTCCATGTACCGCTTTGCCTTGAGGTAAATTATGGCGCCTACCACATGGCCATTGAATACCTTGGTAGGAAACTTTTAGCTCGAAGGAGTAAAAATGATTTAATCCAAAGACATTTGCTCAGAAACACATTTTAATATATAAGCTGAACAATTTTATRTTATTTTATTTAAAAAGGATTAAAATATTTTTGGACATTTTCAAGAACGATTTGGTATGAATTGACAACGTCCCTTCATTGTATTTCTGTTTGACAAATAATGYCATTTTCRTGCATTTTGATTGAAGAGGATGACAGCTCAAWTTAATTCGAAAACAATAAGCAAATATTCTTACTCAAGAACCTTAATTAAATGTTGACAAACGTAAAGTCGGTTTAAGTTCCCCATCGACTCCTAYTCGCATGCGCAGTAATGTATAGTAGGACACTTAGTAAGCTATACAAGTTTTTTTCCCACATTGATCAACGCCTGAAAGCTAGATATATGTATTTATAGAGCATATTTATAGATCAATGAAGAGTGTGTTTTTGCATATATTAATACGATGTATTTAATTATTTCTTTTCAATTAAACATCGACCTTTAGAAATGAGAGATCAAGAGGTGTTGATGTGCAGGGATCTCGCTAATCAATTTTCACGCATTMTCTTTACTCTTAACCTAGGGTTTTATGAGGTTGCCTTGGAAACTGCTGCACATTTTTATTCCATATTCAATAAGCGCCYATTTTAGCCGTTTAATCAACGCAACTCTTTTTCMATYTTTGATTTTCCGATAAAATGTTACAATGTACGATTAAAAGGCTTATAAAAGTTCCTTTGAAAAGATAATTAAATATAAAGTAATTTCGACAAGATAGAGAGATCATATTTCCAAAAGAGCTGTTCAATCAAAGAATCTTTTTTCATTTGAATTTACCAATGAAAGGATACCAAGTTGGAAGAGAAACTAGTCGACAATTATAAATATTTTGAGATCATAACATTATCAAGATCGCAATGCATTACTATGTTAACATGACCAATTAGAAATACCTACTACTACGACAAACGACATGAATTTTCAATRTTTTYAAGCGCACAATTGAGGCGTTCAGCCGCTGTAAGCCCCAAAATGTGCCAAGGAAATGCAGAGAGACTTTAAGACGCTAATAAGCTTTTAAACCCGTGAGACGAGGAGACGCGTACTGATCGTTTTAAAAAGAACACTATGTAAAATCCGATCTTTTAGAAAAAAATAGCCAGAATAGGGCACGTTTTTTTTTCCCATAACCTAATGAAGTTTGAAAATGGCGCATCTAATCGGTCTTGTAAAAAAAAAAATAGCCAGAATAGGAAAAGAATATGTTTTTTTCCACGATCACTAAATGAAGGTTGAAAGTGGCAAGATCCGGTATTTTAGAAAATAATATTAGCCAGAATAGGACAAAATATGTTTTTTTCCCATAACTTAATAAAGTTTGAAAATGGCGCATCTAGTCGGTCTTGTAGCGGAAAAAAAATTAGCCAGAATAGGGCAAGTATATGTTTTTTTCATAACTAATAATGAAGGTTGAAAGTGGCACACATATCTAGTCGAAACATGAACAGCCTTTTGGCGCGAAAATACAACAGACGCACGCGCCCATAATTATCAAATTTAAGAGTAAATCTAGCTTACCAGACAAGTGCTGTTTGAAGAATAATTTACCGCCTTGATCCGCGCATGTTCTGATTGGAGGAACTTAATCTCCCCGCTTCCTGAAAAGACATTTTAAAGAAATGGCTCTTTTTATTGTTTTGTCTCCATACAGCTAAACAAATTTCTGGAAATTAAAGACTTGAGCTCACTTAGGCAAAACAAATGGCCCRAAGAGAACGGAATCAATTGAAAATAAAACAACCTAGTTTTTGTAATTGACTGAAATAAAATAAATATGATCACTATTGAAGTGCCTCAAGGCCAGTTTCAATGGGACTAACTTGACTAGATCTTTGTAAYACATATATCGTTAGTAACTGAACAAGCGTCATTCAAATGAAATAATCTTCATTGTGGATAAATAGTCGATTTTGTATATTTATTAAACTACACAAGATAAGATTCAGTTTACTAGCAAAACCATTTTGATTTTAAATGTGCCTTAATGAGTATGCCTGACGCAGAAAAACCGAATTCGTTCTATTACAAATCGTAATGATTCCGGTAGTTAGCTWTGARATGGCGGCATTGCACTCAATCGACACTTCATGAATAAAATACTCTCCCAGCGTCAAAAAATCGCTGTGATTAGCGTTTCTTGTCTCATAGTGATCTCTAAATTACATATTGGTGTTTCTGTCACAAAGGACTGAGTTTTGGCACCCAATTGCTMAGCAAAAACTGTTAATTGTGCTTCAGAATTGCAATATTAAAGGAAGARCCACATATGTTCTTCAAGGCTAATTTTTTTTGCGATGATCGCGTCACTTTGGAGCTATTTATCCAGCCTTAGTAGCTCTACAAGCTTGTKTTATAAAGGTAAATTTCACRTGTGCTAAGTTYTTGCAAAT